ACGGTTTGCTATATTATAGCACCGATTCAACGGATACACCACGAATTGTGGTTCCTCAAGATGCGGATTTGAGAAAACGCATCTTCTATGAGGCTCACGACACGCCACTCAGTGGTCACGTCGGTCGTGACAAAACATACAACTCAGTGAGTCACCACTATTGGTGGCCCGTGCTGTACAAATGTACGAGCACCGCTATTTCGTCGGAATATTCACAGTCACATGATAGAAGTTGTAGTTAGTTCTATGAATATTCACAGTCACATGATAGAAGTTGTAGTTAGTTCTATATGTGCGCACGTGTGAAACGTGTCAACAGGTGAAACCCTCTATGAATACGGCTGCGCCGCTGGCCAGCTTACCTATACCCACTGGGTACTGGCGGTCCATGAGTTTGGACTTTGTGTTTGGCCTGCCAAAAGATTCGGCGGGCAACACGGGAGTCGTGGAGCTCGTCTATCGTTTGAGCAAGATGGCTGATCTTGCGGCAGAGCCAAATACCATCGTTGGTGTCGGTCCAGCGATGTTGTTTGTGAATCATGTCTTTCGACAACATGGATTATCGGAGTCAATTATCTCTGACAGAGACCCACGCTTCACTGAAAAGTTTTGGTCGACAATCTTTAAGGTGCTAGAACCCAAGCTGGATATGTCAATAGCGGGCCATCAGCAGAACTATGATCAGACTCAGCACGTTAATGGCGTCGTCAAGGACGTCCTTCGTAGCGTCCGCGCCGAGACGCCGAGGCGCTAGGGCGCGCCATGGTGCCACTCGTAGAGTTTGCTGTGAACAATGCAGCGCATGTGTTCACCGGTTAACGCCATTTCACGTGAACGGGCTCGTTCATCCTCGCGTCCTGCTGATGCCGCCATCCCATGGTTTAGGGTCTGGTGGGGGAGGAATAGCCGAGTGGTTACCTGATGTCAACCGTCTCTCTGTTTTTAAAGAATTTGATGACTTCCTGTCGAGCAGACTGAGCGTCTTACGACACGTTTGCGATGCGATGGCTGAAAGCCAAGACATGCAGAAGGAAAATGGGTAGAGGAAACGTTAGGAAAATTGAGGTCGGAGACCTGGTTTGATCAAATGCCAGAAACCTTCCTACATGTAGTTTCTGCTGTCGTTCAGACATAGCTCCGTCCACGGTTTATTGAACCTTCAAGGTTGGGGCTTTGCGTATGTGCTAGACCTTCCGATACGGATCCGCGCACACCCGGTATGTGGGCTTGCTCAAGCCGTACCGGACTTCGGCGCTAGTGATCGCGGAAGCACTGGCGCCGAAGCGGCGCTCACAGGTGCTCGACTACCCAGAAGCTGGACCAGCAACTGATTTTGAGCACGGAATGCATCGATATTTATCTCCAACGGCGCCAGGCGCTGCTTTACCGTCACAAAGTGACGCATTCGTCTGATCGACGGCCATGGTCCGCTCAGACAGAGCGCGATAGTCCTCAACGTTAGGCAGCCGGTGCACAACGTGCTTCAAGTTTTCAAGGTCTCCCAAGCAGCGGTATGCAACCTTAGCATGATGCTCAGCGGAGCCTCGAACGCGACGGACCTCGTCCCTAAGAGCTCGAAGAGCATCGCGAGTCACCGGACGGCGATCGACCCAGTCGTCATTGTCCGCCGCCGACTCTTCTCGACGAAAATGGTGGTGCCCACTATCACGTGGAACCTCTTGTGGGTCGACGTCGTCGCCAGGGTCATACCCAGTATAGTGTCAAGTGGCGGGAATACCCGACTTCGAGAACTCGAGGGAGTTGGAGTGTCACTTCGGCAAAGTTGCCCAGACGTCGTGGACGCTTATCATTAAAATGAGCACGACGTTTCGAGTCGTCGTACGCCTCGCGCTTCTCGGCAATAGCCGGGAAAGCCGAAAAGCCATGAACCGGGCTCAATCTATAGCACTGAGCTACTGCGGACGCAGGCTCATCTGTGTGAGAGACACAGAGTTCGCGGAAGCGTCATGGATCAACCCATACGTCGCAGCGACAATCCAAAGTAAGTCGGCAACGCGACTTGAGTTTGGCAAACTCAAACCGAAGATGGCGTTCCTCGCGCGCGTCCATTTCCTAGTGGCTCAACTATAAGTTTTTCAGCGAGAAAGGCTTCCTATACCGCTGCCTCCATCGCTAAAAGAGCTCTTCGTCATCTACAGCGGTTTCGTCAGGGGCAAGAACCACAGAAATCGTCCGCATCGCTGGTTCAAGAGCGTTCCTCTTTGAGCACGAAGTCGAGTGCGGTACGTATCCACCGGGATTTCTCTAGAACCCAATAAGCGAGCTCGAAGAGCTTTTCTTTCGTCAAGCTTATCTTGTGAAGTGGCCGGGGTCCCGATCACGTAGACGCCAAACGATCGAATGATCGCGTATTTGCTTCTGTGGCGGGATTCGCCGAGCGGAAGCCGTATTCCACACGAGGGTCAACGAATGACCGTGGAGGCGCGCGCATGGGAGCAGTTCTGCAGACAGCATCCAGCTGCTGCTTCTGTGCCTTGTCGAGATCATTGGTAATGACACCACTTACCTCGGAAGTCGATAGTTCGGGAATCGGACACGGCGTCCGCAACGTTCGAGCAGGGCTCACGTCGCGCCGCTGGAGCACTTCGCTTTCTTCTCCTTCCCATCCTGGGAAAGGATTATCCGACTCGTAGTCATCTTTTTCCAAATCCTCGACGAGGCCATCCATCGCCCGCGGCAGGCACGGTGCAGGGTCGGGAGTAGACATCGCGTCTATGTTCTTGGTCGTGAGACTCTGTCGCTGACAATGTGCTGCGCGGTATTTGGCGCTTCCCTTGAAGCCGCGGATGTGCTGCCCGATTTTACACCGTTGCAGGTGACGAAGAAAGGCTCTACCCGCGGGCGTTTTCGGAACCAGCGAGGCTGGGTGTCTTCCGTGTCCTCGGCACAGGGCTCAATGAGCAGGGAATTTGGGAAGAAGGTTCTGATGCTGTGGTGTCTTGGACACGCGAGCCTCGTTCGAGGCGACAAGTGAATGTGAGCTATAGGTGTTCACAATCTTGATGGGAAAGAATGTGATGGGAATTTCACGTGCCCTTGTATGTAGGGTGCGGGTCACACAAGATGGTGTGGCTACAATTAAAAAAAATAAGTTCGTGGCTTGACTGCCAGTAGTTATAAATTTGATTGGTTTTTCCTATTAAGTTATGAAAACCTCTAGATTTAGATTTAGACGGCTTTGCCTCAAATAAAACTGAGAAATATAGTTTATACTTTAAACGGAAGAGGTAATTAGCCTTAAATTAAGCTTGTAATTACTCTTGGAGTAAGGGGATTGCGATCCGCTAAACTCGTACTGGAACTAAGTATAGAACCTAGGTCACCGACCCTAACCAAGCTTCCTCTTAGCAAAAGTGCTACGGCAGCCCCGCTGTAGCACTAATCGGACGTCTGCTTTGCTGAAGCTGGTTTGTGAAGTTGTACAACTAGTTGATTCTTCACCCAGTACACTAATTGAGTATGATTTTTAGCCTTCACTCCAAAAAGTTAAACAGTTCTCGCGGAGATACTTTCCAGCGCTAATTTTGATCCTTAGTAAAGGCAAGTGCGAGTCTTGCCATTGCGTGATGGACAACTTCTAATGGAATAAATCAATAATAACGACGTGATCGAGTCCACAATGTTATGCGCTTGCGGGAGGGGTGGGTGATTTTGACTCACCGATCAGGTCCAGCTCATTAGTAACAAGTGAGACGTCGCCGTGAGCTCTGCGGCGGAGCGTTGGCACACCCTCCGCCGTAGAGAACCAGCACGCAACTCGGAGCTCGTGCGGAGGCAGGGCAGGAAGCTGATACTACCCCGGCCTTAAAAATATTTTACCACGGGGACTTCTTTGCCGTGTATCCCTCGGTGGGGGCAAATGTGATGGGTCGATATTCGAATGATCACAGCGACTACTCTTCCAAAAAGCGTACAGCTGTCTCACCGAGTAAAGTCTGAAGGTAGTCGCGACGATGGCCGAGTTTTAACAAAATCGCCTCTACGATGATGTATTTGCAGGTACTAGTGTGGAGAAGAGGGGAGATACTCCGGAAAGAAGAGGGTCTGTGGGACTTGTGAGCCACTAGCCTCACGCTGCGCAGTTCATGCTAAAATATCGCAGATAGTAAAACGAATATACTAAGTATCGGTTAATGTCATATATAAATTGATATCTATCACTTTTAAAGTTAAAAGCATACTATACTTTAGAGGCTGTCATTTTCACTTGCGTATGGAGCATCGTTAACGAGGACTCGTTGAGTCAAAGCTTTCTCTGTACGAGTGCACTGCAACCACTTAGCATTACACCTCTCCTTGAATTGAGCCCGACGTCCCTCTTGTCACATCTCCTGCTTCTGGAATCTTTACGGTGACATAGGCAGTCCAAGCCATGAACATTCATACCTGACACATTTCTCTAGGACTATAATGATGACGGCTGCGTCACAGTCGCAAAACTGTAGGAAAGATGTAAAAGCAAGAATGAGCATGCTGTAGTACTGATTGCAATACTAGGCATGCTTACTTGTACAACTACTATCACCAACTGGAATCTTAAAATATACCAATTATTATCCATCCAATCATACCACCGCTTTACAATTTGTGATTTTGTCCAGTCATACGTTAGAAGTAAGCCTGCCATCCACTAAGGACTATGGCTCGTGGTAAGAAAAAAGGAGGCCGTCGTGGCGATGACTCGGACTCTGATGAGGCCAAAGTGTCGCCGCCGGTTACTAATACCTCGGTAGAGAAAGATGACAAAAAGTTGGCGCGAAAAGAGAAGCTGAAAGCACGCAAAACACAGCGTCAGGCATCCAAAACCAGCGAGGAGCAGATCAGCCAGCGCACGACTTCAGACGCAGAGGAGGATGTAGATGAGGATGATCCCTATGCGCAGATTGCGAATAGTGTGAGCAAGAAGAAGAGCAAAAAGATCAAAAAGAAGGCCGTAGTAAACTTTGCAGCCCTAGTGGACGGTAGCGAGAGCGAAGAAGAGGAGCAAGAAGAACAAGAAGAGGAAGAGAAGGAGGTAAAAGATATTGATACTCTTTTAGACACGAAGAAAAGTCCGAAAAAAGACACAATGTCACATCGTTTGGAGAGCAATGAAGAGGTAGAGCAGGAAAATGAAGAAAAGCATAAACCTGAACCGATTGAAGAGAAGAAGAAAGACAAGAAGAAGAGCAAAAAGAAAATGATTTCAACAGATTTATTCTTCGACAATGTGGATCCAGTTGACGAGGTTGAGAAGAAAGACAAGAAGAAGAAGAAATCAAAAATTGCCTTTGATACTAATGATGACGATGATGAAGAGGCAGAAGATGGCGAGAAAGCAGCCAAGAAGGAGAAAAAGCACAAGAAGGAGAAAGAGGGTAAACGTCTTAGCAACAAGGAACGGAAGCGACTGAAAGAAGAGCAAGAGCGCCAAGAGCGCGAGGACGAGTACCATCGTGCTGCTAATCCTATGGACGGTGCTCAGTTCTCTGTCTCACAGCAAGCGTTCACAGAAGACTCGAACTGGGAAAACGCTACAGACATTCACATTGATAATTTCAGTATCAATGCGCACAATAAGTTGTTGTACGACAACGCGTCACTGCACATTAATGCTGGCGGCAAATACGGTCTTGTGGGTCCGAACGGTCAAGGAAAGACGACCATATTGAAAATGATTGCACTTGGAGAGCTCAAGATTCCGCCGAAAATCGATTGTCTTTATGTGGAACAAGAAGTCGTAGCTGACGATACGCGCGCTGTGGATGCTGTGCTGAAGGCAGATGCTGAGCGGTGGGCATTGCTTGAAGAGGAAAAGTCGTTGCTTGCACAGCTCGAAACAAAGCAAGATTCGGCTCTCGATGATCGACTGAATGAAGTCTATGAGCAGCTATCACAATCCAATGCGTCAGCCGCTGAGGCTCGTGCACGTCGTATTCTTTTTGGTTTAGGATTCGATTCAGCCATGCAGGAAAAGGTCACGAAGGATTTTTCGGGTGGGTGGCGAATGCGTATCTCGCTAGCTAAGGCACTGTATGTGGAGCCGACGTTGCTGATGCTTGATGAACCGACAAATCACTTGGACCTTAATGCTGTTATATGGCTGGATGATTATTTGCAAAAATGGAAAAAGACGCTGCTAGTTGTATCCCATGATGCTGATTTTCTAAACAGCGTGTGTTCGGAAGTGCTGCATCTAGAAAACAAGAAGATTGCGCACTACAAAGGCAATTATGATATGTTTCGTGAAATGGAAAAGCAAAAGCGCAAGCAGATGGAAAAAGCTTGGGAAAAGCAGCAGAAGCAACTTCGTAACTTAAAAGCATCTGGCAAATCGTCGAAAAAGGCGACAGAGATTGTCAAAAAGAAACGAGAACCTGGTGCTCGTGCAACAAAGAAGAAGGCGTTGTTGCCAGAGGATGCAGCGGAAGTCAGTGCCCCTACGGATTTGTTGGAACGTCCAAAGGAATACATTGTTCAATTTAGCTTTCCAGAGACCACAATAGTGTCGCCACCGATACTTGAAGTGCGTGAAGCCAGTTTTCGCTATGGTGACGGACCATACTTGTTTAAAAACACTGACTTTGGTATTGATACGACGTCGCGTGTGTGTATCGTGGGTCCAAATGGTGTGGGAAAGAGTACGCTGTTAAAAATGATAACAGGAGAGGTTACGGTAACTGAAGGCGAGGTGCGACGTAACCCACGGGTACGTCTTGGGATCTACAGCCAACATTTTGTCGATAAGTTGCCCATGGGCGAGACACCGGTCGAGTATTTGCGCCGTCTGTTTCAAGACCAATCGTACCAGCAGGTGCGCAATTTACTTGGCAAAGTAGGTCTGGAAGGTCACGCACACGAAATCAAGAATCGCTTGCTTTCTGGTGGTCAAAAAGCTCGTGTGGTCATTGCAGAATTGGTTCTGATGCGCCCGCATATTCTGATACTGGACGAACCCACTAATAATTTAGATATCGAGTCAATTGACGCATTGTGCGATGCCATACGCGAGTACGATGGCGGTGTAGTCATTGTTACTCACGATGCGCGTCTGATTGAGTCAACAGAATGTGTTTTGTGGGTGTGTGGTGACCAGGATGTGGTGGTGTACGACGGCACGTTTGAAGATTACAAACAGTCGATTTTAGACGATCTCCACAAGCAAGCACAGGCTGAGGAGGAGCGTCTTGCCGAGAATGCTGCCAAGAAAGCTGAGGCTCGTGCGCAAAAGGCGAAAGGATAGATACCAGGAATTGAGGTTAAGTTGGTGAATTTTAAACTTAGATGAAAAATCACTGGGATTTTTGTTTGCTAAATATTTCTGATCTAATTACCTTAACTTAATTTTTGCAACATCAAATATTCAATGAACTATCAACTTGGTGATTGGCCATTGCTCCGAGTGGCAGATTGATTGGCTCTGAAGTCTTGTTTTCAAGCTGTTCAGTAGTTCATTCCATTCCCTGCAGAGCTTTTCGTTACTAAGTCCAACACCTTAAGCATGGCTGACAAGGCTCCCGTTACGGTGCGCACGCGCAAATTTCTTCGCAATACTCTATTGGCTCGCCGCCAAATGGTGCGTACACGCATTTGTGATACATTTCGTATGACCTATCCAGAGTCTGACTTTCAGTGCTGGGTCGATCCAGGTGGTAGAGGTGATCCACCCTGGCCGCCCTAACGTCCCCAAGGCTGAGCTTCAGGAAAAGATTGCCAAGGTACGACTTTAATTTACCGAGTCAGCTTGTCAGCGAGATGGCATTGTCATAAGGACAGGATAAAGACGCGAATCTATCAAAGCTATATCAGTGCCCTATAGCTCATATGATATTAAATCTAGTCCATCGCAGATTTCGACAATCTGACCGGCCGACACACAAAACAAAATTCAGATCGCTGACATTGGTTGTGACGCGTTTATGAGCAGATGTACAAGGTGAAGGATGCCAACACTGTTTTTCTTTATGGCTTCCGCACGCAATTCGGTGGTGGCAAGAGCTCGGGTTTCGGGCTCGTATATGACACGGTGAATGACGCCAAGCGCTTCGAGCCCAAATACCGTTTGATTCGTCAGGGTCTAGTTGAGAAGGTTGAGACGTCGCGCAAACAGATTAAGGAAGCCAAGAACCGCGGCAAGAAGATCCGTGGTGTTGGTCGTCGTATTGCCCGCCACAAGGCTGCTAAGGCCAACAAGTAGATTGTAAAGGACTTTTTTGTCTTGGCAATGTCGACTATGGAACGAATTTACGCTTCTGCAGCTTACTGTGTTTTCGTCATTCCGCTAAGAATGCTTTGTATAACAAGAAGCATACTGGGAAGTGTAATTAGTCAAGAAACTTACGTGTTTGCTTGATTTAACTTTCTTGTGCCGCTTTTCACAGTATATTTTGCTGTTTGGTGGAACACTGGTCGTCCCAACGGCTTATTATCATTGAAAATTGGTTCTATCTTTTAGCTTATGAAACTTTACGTAAGCATTTCCATGCGCTCGGTCTGCTTGTTGAATCGATGTTGGTATATAAATACTGTGCTTACAGTTAAAGTAGGAGCAGCACGCACATCTATCGAGCCTAGCTCTCCATATTCATGTATATCCCAGCTCTACCAACACCCTACAGTCTCAAAACTGCACAAGGTTGATCTGTTCAAAGTTTGAGGATAAGCTGAATTTATTATTGAACAGCGCAACAACCATCCTTTCGAATACTTTGGATCGCTCCTGGGCCAACCTGTTTTCCGTAATGTGTTCGATTAGAGTAGGTCATCTCCACTAATGCACCACCCGTCTCATCCGCAAAAAAAAGCTGTCTTCTACTTTTGGCAACAATTAAGTTGTTGCCATCATCGGTCTGTTTCTTTCTATCTGTATCGTTTTCTTTGTGGTGATTGCTATTTTCGATTGTCCAGTGTTTGCCGTTTGTGATGATGACCGTCGGCCTTGAATCATTCGCAATCGATAAATCTGGTTCTGACGTTGATAAAGGTATTCGATGATTTACTCTTGTCGAATCTTTCCTATCCAGATCCTGCGAGTAATGATTTTCCACGGCTAGCTTTAATCGAGGAGTGCCATCTACGCTAGCATCTATAGGGTATACGGTTTGATGCATGAATTCTATTCCGTCCAAGTGGCTTGGCTCCGGTCTCTTTAGCGAAAAGGTAGCTGGACACACTCAAAAGATGGCGCATGCACGTCTGAAATCGCCAAGCGGTCGTGTGGCAGAGGACTCTGCTGGCTAGAGGACACGAATGACGAAATAATCTTATCGATTCTTATCACAAGAAGTACAGGTGCTGTGCTGAGCACCCTCAACTTGCCCGCAATTATTTAACCTATATTTTGGGAATGGTTTTCTACCGGAACCATGAAGGTATGTTAGCCGTTTCAAATTTCACTTCAAAAATAACAGTTAAAGATCACAAATTAACACACACATGACGTCCAACCCAATCAGACGGACCCGGCTTTGTATCACAGCTGTTTTTCGCACTTCGACGTGAACCAGATCCCGCTGTTTGCACTCCTACCGACACATAATTTCAAAATTACAATGACTCGACTGTCGGAGCAGTTTTGCCGCAAGCTGGAAAATCTGCATTTGAAGAGGCCTCGAAAGGTGTTGAGTTTTCGTCATCTGTTGCTGAGGCAACACGCTGATTTAGTTCAATACCACGGGATTGTGGCGTGACTGGTTCCCGATTAGGGAGCTGATCCATCTGGGCATAAAGTAGGCCATGCTCGGTTGGTCGCCATAAATACACTACTACAAGCAATATCCCGAAAAAGAAGAGGCGAGTTGCTGCCCACACCATCCATATGTACGTCCACGGTACCCACACTGAGCCTGAATAGCTGACACAAAATTCGCAACATTCACGCTGCATGTTAGCCAGATCGCGTGCAAGCTAACAGCATCGTCTACAACTTACATAGCCCCTTCAAGAGCCATTAAAAAAAATGAGATGACCACGTATGCGACCAAAATACGATTAAGAGAAGCGTATATCTGCAGTTTAGCCGTCTGTTCATCACATTTACATTGAACAAGGCGTCATTAGATTTCATGCAGTTGTAATGGCGTGATAGATGTGCTTACCTGGCCAAAAGCGGCTAGATTTTTTCGTGTAAGCTTGAGTGACATGAAAATCCATCCTCCAAAGCATCCATTGGTCATAATAACGAGCGCTTCCCAGACAGCAGGAGGTCGCACATCACCTTCTGATTGATTGGCAAGATGGCTTACTTCAAGTGCTCCAACAGCTATAAAGTAACAAACGCCAAGCCCAGAAACGACAAAAACTTCAGGCCACGAAATTTGATTTCGCACAATACCGTAGCCTAAGCTGACCAGCGTTGTAGCAATACGCGCCACCATTCCTGCAAGGACCTTTACAAAAGTTGAAAAGAGCACCGTGTCTGGGTATGGGCAACAAACAGGCACACCGGACGCATTTAAAAGCTTATACGTTACGAACCACACCACTGATTCGCCTGTGATGTAACACATAACTATGAGAGATCTCTTTTACGTACGTAATCTAAAATACCGTACCTGTTGAGAGCAACAAGACAACAAGCAGGAAGAAGTGCGTCCCAACGACGCTATGGCGGTGGCGATTGATCAATATCAAAAAGTAAACATCTAGTGCCCCATATACCAACGATAAAACTCCGCTATGGTGCATTACCGCACCAAAACATTAGCTACCAGAATTTTTTGGCAATACATAACAAGCAAATACTCACTTGAATACATACAGCCCAAACAATAGTCCCGGCAGATATCCGTATGGATTTTGAAACGCTATTGCAGCATCCACATGCAGCAATGGGTCCATCATCGGATACGGCACGAAATTTTCGGCACTCACAGGATATCCGAACGCAGCTCGTTTTTGTTTCCAACATGGCATCAGTAAAGCCGTTTGCAGTCCTTCTTCTTTTGGATAAAACGTCAAGTCAACATGCAGTCTTTGGTCACTCTTCACAGCGTAAAATTCTCTCTCAATTATACTTTTCACGTCGGTTTCGTTAGAATAATTCCAGCTGCAAGCCGCGTGTTCATCGAATCCCCAAGCAATTGCAGCGTCGGTGGAGTAAATGGCCAGTACGACGCCAAAATCAAAGTAGTCGCTCAGTCTGCGCACTGTTATGTCCTTCTGCACCTCCTCATCCTTCAGTGAGCGTAGCGTTACATTCATGTGAATACTGGATCGCCCAACGATTCCCAAGGGCCCGTGACCATCCGCAAACATTCTTTCAGTTATTTTGCAACCCGTAACCTTATCATGCACCTGGTGAATTGATCCAAAGACAAAGACCTCCCTACTACACAGCACCACCACTGCGGCCATTTTCGTCATGAAGCAAAGTCGGTTAAATAGTGACGCATGTCTGAAAGCTCGCAATATGAGCATGGAGTGCAGCGCCATATCGGTCTCGCGTGTGCGGAATTGGAGTGATTGTCATTTACCAACTGGAACATCTCACCGTCTTAACTATATTTACCAATCAGCACATAGATCACAGGGGGCCTCAGAATTAAAAAGAGTGCATGATGTCGTCGCTTGTACCGTGGTTGCTGTTGTGGACTGTCTTGATACATGCGGTCGCGGCATCTATATATCCAATAAAGAGCAACACTTGGATACCGCCATTTCAACGCGCTGAAAAGCTTTTCGCTACAGATCAAGGTCCAATCTTTGCGCGCGTTGGCAACTCGTCCGTCACTGTGCGTGTGCAATTTTGTATACACCAATGGTTGGGGATTTTAACTAAGTGACCGTGTCATTTTATGCAGATTGATATTAAAAGCGTCAATGTGACGCAGGAAATGGCCGGATGGAGGCTTGTGGTTTTCTTTTATCACGTGGACAGCTACAAAACTTTTGAGACGGTATCCGACAAGATCGAACTGCTAGCCTGCTCAAATGCAAGCGAATTGAAGTTTGACGGCATGTCAGATATTCAGCGCTTTGTTTTCTTTGTAAATGAAAAGACCACACCAGTTTTACAGGCCAATGTTTCGCACCTTGTAACCTCGAGCGGATGGACCGACACGCAAGTTTTTGTCTGTTCTAACGATGAAATCGCTCCAATAGAAATGCTGACATTTTCGGGGTCCATGGAAGTGCGCAATCCATATGGATTGCTTCCTGCGGTCTTGTACGGTATGTTGCCGTTTAGCGGGTTCTTGACCATTGGATACTTGGTGCTGGACGTGTTTTTCGTGTTTCTACTTATTCGCCATCGTCGTCAATTACTTTCACTGCACTGGGGTATTCTGCTGATTTTAGTAACGGGTACAACTGCGGCAGCTATCTCTCTTTATGCTTTTTACCGAATGAACAAGACAGGAGAACCCGTATGTTGTCCATACCCGACTACATTTCTCGTTGCTATAATTCTAGATGTAAGTTTATATTTGTTACGCTTGATGAAAATGGCCTGTGTGCTGATATCCACACTATATGATACGACAGACATTTGTGCGTACTTTGGCGCGTATAATCTTATTGATAGTATGCCTAGGATACGGCATTGTTCGAAGTCACCTCAGCCGCGTTGAAATAGGCATTATATCTTTATTGTCGCTGGCGTACTTTGTCTCGGGTATCGCTGACGAGGTCACTCGCGGTACCTCAAGTGGCGCTGACTTTCGGGAAAAGCCAACAGCTTGGTCGATCATTCAGTTGCTTTGCAACCTTACGTTTATTATGTGGATCCAATTTTCGATGGAGCGCATTCTACGTGTTTTACGAGATCAAAAGCAGTTTGCAAAGCTTAGCATGTATCGCTGGTTAGCCTGGTCTCTCGCCGCCTTCATCGTGTTTTTCACCATACTTACGATCGTTGCCGTCTGCAGTCGGTTTGGCGTGTTCGAGTGGGACGTCGAATGGGAATGGACGCAACTCGTTGCGTGGCCTGTCTTAAATTTTACAGTCTCCGCTGCCATGTCTTTCATATGGCGACCGACACAGAATAGCTCACAATTTGCTTACTCCATGCAGGTTCGTTTGAGCTATGCTATCTTGGAACAAAAATTTATCTCACGACTGTTACTGCATAGCTGCCAATGGTCGATAGCCCAGGAATCGAGATGACTCGTAAAACGCGTGGCTTGTCGTCGGATGACGACATTAACCCTGAGCTGGAGTCGGACTCGGATGAAGAAAGATCTGTTCCTGCCGGTAAGCAAAAGACTAGCAGCAAGGATAGCGACGACATGGAAGGAGTCTAGCTGTTTGCAACCTTATTTTGTGAGCTACTCATCTTGTACAGTGCAGACAACTAACTCAAATTTTTTCACAATTAATCGATGGTGCAAATTCGATTGTTAGCACCAGGTATTTACATTAAATTCTTATCATTCACGCGTCCTTTTTGTGGTCGCGAGTCAATCTTAGAGCGACAATGACAAGTCCTACGAAGCATATGCCGGGTAATACGACTGCTATAAAAGTAGAATTCGTTCTGTCCTTGTCATCTGGATGGTTGCCACCAATAACCTTAGCGTTAAACTCCGTGACTGTTTTGGCCTCTGGCGCGATCGAGATTGGCTTGCCAATGCCTGGAGGGTCATCGTACTCTGCTCCTGTTTTACCAGTATCTTTCGTCGCGGGAGCACACGGCTTAATCACCTCTTTGTCATCGGGAGTTTGTACTTCCATTTCATCGCGTAGGCGTTTAGGTTGACATTCCGCCGGCAGCGACTAATCATCAACAGCATCAATGAGAGGATCACCTGACATCGTTTATCATGCATAACGTACATCCTTTGGTCCAGAATAGGCATTGCACACCGCATTTAGGAGCTGCTTGAACCCGATGCCGTGAGACGATTCACCTAATGGCGTGCCGTTGATCAAAACCTAGTCGAACGTAGTGTCTTTGTCATTCATTATAGGCAAACGAAAACACCTCGGCAAGTTTACTGTGACTTACGTATGGAACCCACGGTAAAGGCAATGCTTGTCTTTTTGCCACATTCTGCAACCACATTTTGAATGAGTGTGACGAAAGAAAGTGTCACAGTATGTCGATTACCTTTCGAAGAAGATCGTCACTTTTCGTGTCATAGCATGATTTCATTTTCGTGTACGCTTCGCCCTCATAACACCGCTTGATGATGGAGCTCCACGTCATGCCCTTGTTATCTCTGCTTTCCATGCACTGCACTCATCAAATAACAATACATTTCTCAAGAATGGGACGGATGATTTCTTTAAATGGTGGACTTACAGCAATGTGCTCCACCAACTCGCTTATTTGCTCGAACTCTTCTACAGCGCAGCTAAGCCATTTGTGTCCCAAGCATTCGACCATGCCCGAGGTGCACACGAAATTACCCTTTGCGTTAATTGACGTGCCAGCTGCAGGCACTGGGTGAAAGTCAATAATCTCTTGGAATCTGGAAATAGTATCATATTGGTACATGCTAAATGTGGTATCAGTGAATACGACTACGTACTCCTTGTTTTTAACAAGAGTGAGCAAAGACTTTGTGATAAATGACATGCAGCCGGGGCTAGTGAAAATGGTAGTAGGTCAGTACTATAAAAGAGAAAAAAATCGCATGCAAGTAGCTAGTACCAAAACGCTCGCCAGTACATTTCAAGCTGTACTTTGCCAGCTGCCACGACGACCGTAGTAGTAACAGGAGACGCAGGAGTACTCAGCTGTTCTTTCATTTTCACATCATTGTCGCTATTTACGACTTCAGGGGCATTGGCATCAGTAGGGGCTTGAGCTTCCAAAATCACCGTGTTTTCTGATGGAGTGGCCGTGGGTTCTAATTTCTTGTCGGTTGCTACTAGCGGTTTATCATCATTCCTTTGCACAGATTCCTCGGGAGAAACTACCTTTTGTTCACCAGAAAGCTTCAAACATTCCGCTGGGTAAAAGCTCTTAGGCCCAGTATACGCTGAGCAAATGCCACGTTTCAGCATACTCAGCGGAACCCCCTCCGTCAGCGATCCTAGTACTTCTTGATTCGCTGTAATCTTCGAGACACCAAAATACCAGAGAAATGACATTAGCCGTATGCGACGAGAATAATCAATAAGCGCATACATATGGCATCCAGGGAACGCTTCCGGATTGCTCTTCCCGAATCATCTATTCACGCAGAAAGTGTACAATTATGAGTCTTTTGGTATTTATGAACTCATTCGTTTTCATCCTTACCTTTAACAAAAGGTCTTTGCTACGATTGTCGACACATTCCTTCACCACGTCACGCTCCTCATCTGTCAGACAATTTTGTGCCTTCGTGGACCAGTCGCCTACCTGTCCGGACTCGTGCCCTTCAAAGCACTAAGCGAAGACAATAACACACTTGCCTATGTCACAAATGTACAAATATTCACAAAATATAAGCACCCACCGCTATTGTGCCGAGATACTTGACGACATCAAGACGATCCTTGTCCAGCACACAGACCTGCCAACGGTGACCCGTACACTCTAGTGGACCTGCCTCACAACTTATTTCTCCTTGGTTTTCGCGCATTCCTGCGGCAGGAATTAGTCTACACCAACAACAGTGAGCCCAATAGACCATTTGACAAAATGCCGTATAACTTTACGTGAGATCAATGATGTCACGAAATTCTTCGGTTCGCACGAGCTCTAGCAATGGATCACCAACGAGCCATTGACAAGCTGGGCTGTATGAGAGCAACAAATTGTTTTTAATTTAAATAAAGCTGAAGATTCAAGCAAAACTGCATGTAAAACCAACCAGAAGGCTCGAAAGACGACGCGCAAACTGACACGATGCTCTTTAGCAGCCCCCGTTAGTTCAGCCGCGTTGAGCAGAGATGTAAAGTGGAGGAATGGCAGAGCAGTCGATACCAGGGCACGTAGTAGCCCCATGTTTAAGCAAAAACTCGTGCTTAAAGTTTTTTAAAATCATTTTTAACAAGATTCCCTGCACTAAGTGTAAAATTGGCGACATTTACCATACATTACAATATGAATAATCAAAAGATTAATGAAATAATAGCTTGTTGCACTGCCACGTCACTATTAATACTAGTCATCATGAATTATGGCTCCAGCTATTACCCTATTAATGTAACCAGGTACGTACGTACTTTAATATGACATTCATGAAGTCAGTGAAACTCGTGCCCTCCATGATATGTGCACCTTTGGTACTATATGCCAGCAGAAGTGCCGCTGAATATGAGGCTCAATTTTCACACAGGTTTGCTCTGTCTCACCGGTCTCAAGCATTTACAAGCCAGCTTAGTGGAGCGGTTGTTGAGGTGACCACTGATCGCATCACTTCCTGCTACTTACACCCACTCATCTCCACACGTCAGCGAAGACAGCTACCGATCAATGGTCTTGATCACCACCACGTCGGTTGCATCCAGTAGTGGAGAGTCTGCTCGCGGGCGACCCTGCTTGTTTCAATGGTAGGTACACAAGGTCGTAAGCAACCAAGGCACCAGGGAAATCTTGCCGAAGTTTGATTGTAACCTGTCACTAGCTTCAGGGCTAACGACAACACTTCCATTCCACCAATTATGATGACAGCGTTAATATACCCGTCGGTCCACCGAACGATCCAACATTAAAGGTAACTTACTTGCTTATTATGAAATGCCGGTAGAGGTCGACCTCATGTGGCTGTCTCTCTCAGTCGGGGTTAAACATCGATTCTACTCTAGAGTCACAGCGTAAGTCAGAGTTTGAGATGAAGCAGACCTCTTATTTACACTTATGACTACGTCATTGCACCACCTAGCATGATGAACCTCCAGAAATACAGAGCCACGTCGCTGCTTAGGAGCAGAGAGTAGCTCTGCTACAGACGAGGTCAAGACGTCGCTTCGTCTACAACAAAGCTCTTCACGTCCGACTGGCTCGTAAGGGCGAGATCGTGGTATGACTTCAGTAATTCCACAAAAGCACTGAACGTGTTCGCATTGCCTCAGGGAATACTGAGTATAAATCAATTTCTCTGATACTCAATGTGTGACGATGCCTCACGAGAAAAACTTCGTGTACATTATGCTGTACGAGGGACATGATATCCCTACTGGTGGTCACCTGAGAAGAGAAATTACATACTGCTCATAAGTGCTGTATATCGGTGAAAAAAACATGTATAGCCACATATGTGCGCACTCGTTAAATTAAATCAACGGGTTCAACCCTCGCCGCAAGCGACGGTACCGTTGGCTAGCCTCCTTAATTTGGTAGAGTGCTGGTCATTTATAAGTAAGCTTCATTTTTGGTCTTGAAAAAGATGCATTTGGTAATACCGGTATTGTGGTCTGTATAAGTTGGTTCATCTCGCTATTGTCAGCGATACAAGGATCCAGCCAAGCTGGTCCTCAACAAAGTGTTTTGCCACCATCGCCTGCAGGTAGCCATTAAAAACGATCTAGATCCGCGTTTTATGGCAAAGTTCAAAAGCAATTTTAAAGTGCTCGGCACCAAAGAATGGATATGTCAAACACTGACCATCCACAAACAAATGATCAGGCGGAGCACGTGAATTGTATTGTTGACGAAACCTTACAAAGTCCTTGCGCGGAGACCGCGATGCCAAAGCGAGCTGGTTTCACTCGTTAAGTCTGCATCAGATAATGCTAATACGCTGGTAGTACCAATTCTACATCAATGTGTGGTATACACCCGGGTTTCTTCGATATTGGTTTAAAGTGGCTCTGGATTTTGTGGTGAAGGGGCTATCGATTTAATATGACTTGCTGTATCAGCTCGGGTAGCAAAGTCAGTGATTTTCTCTCAATGCGAGTGGGTGTCATGCGCTGGTGCTTGGACAAGAGCCGAGATAATTAAAGGCAAAAAACATATCCGAGGCAGGTAATACCACACAAATCTGTTGTTGGGTCAAAGATTGTACTTCTACGTTCGACCTACCCTGAACATGTAGTGTCTGCTGTAAATAAGACAAGTTGCGACCACCCTTCATTGGACTGTTCGGGTAATACCGATCACTGCTATACTACAGCAAGCTTTGGGATAAGGCATAACGGTGTAGGCTGTGACCGCTCTATTCGATGATGCGACATCTAAACTATCGAGTTCCTTGCTTTCAACATTTTTCGGTGGTACAACACAGATTACGTGTTTATCGTACGCTGTACATATCACCTTGTCGATTGGCGACGCAAACATCATGACATGCAAAAATTATTTGTCGGGGCGGCGCAAAAGCACATTCGCCACCACATTAAGCCGAACCCGCTAATACCTTTCCTCACAGATACGATCAGTAGCTGTTTTGCCATTCTCTGTGAGCAATGGGGCCACGAAGATGCTGTGTGCAACGATGCTTGAACTGCGTAGATAAAAAGGCTTGCTGCCAAACATAAGCATTTTGAACTTGACGCTGGCATACTTTACTGCAAGTAACTCTTAGACATGAACAGGATAGTTCTTCTCAGCCGCTTTCGGCTGTCGTTACCGTACCGAAATCACGCATATATGCCCATTAGTATCTACTTGGAGTAAAGCACAGCCTTAATAAAATGCAGTTTTATTCAATCGATAATCAAACATATGTATTCGTATTTGTCCAAATGGCATTAGTCATATATATACTCTCGAAAAAGCAGATCTAATCACACACCTAGCTACTTTAGAGACTCTCGGTTTCGTCCCTTTTAGAAGAGCACGAGCCCAACAACCGTGTGGTTGCTAAAACCGATCCCTGGGATCAAAGCTTCATCTGTGCAAAGAGGACGGTAACCCGGTAGCTCTTATAGTCATTCCATGATCGAGTCGCGGAGCGACTGCTTCCTATGTAATGACAAAGATATAAATTGATCGAGTATCTGCACCCAAAATAGCTTGACTAGCGTCGAAAGCTAATGCCTACGTATGGTCCCGACGAGGTCAAGTAATTGATAGCCAAAAGACTGATGACAGTAGTTGCTCGATAAGGCCGCTCGCCGCTTTTATATATTCAGCTTTGAGACGCAAGAAAGAGCGCTTCAATTGGGCACCGGCAATTTCCACCGTAAGACCGCGGATGCTGATATAATGATTCGAAAGGGTGAAAAAGGCGAAGTTAGTATGTATTTAACGTTGCTTTGGAGAAAGCAATGGTACATTTTCTCAAGCTTGCGGTCGCTAGGATAAGAGGTCACGCGTAAAACAACACTTATGTGCAGTGGTTCAGCAAAAGAGACGTCTCCAACGGTGGGATATTGAGAGCGTCTAAGATCGCGGATGTTTGCATCGCCTAGACAGGCACATTGAGCGCGTTTGCAATTCTTGTTCTCTCGTCAATGAGGTAAGAATTAGCGATATATGCCGAAGATTTGCGAGCTATAATCACCGCAATAGCGCCAGACCCTCCCTCCCCCAGAGGCTGTAGCGGTTACCATCCTCCGAAGGGTCTATAGACGGATGCGGCTGGAACATGATATCCTCCTCATTTATCCTACTTTTTTCAGAAAGTGGTGAACGCAGCGTTAAATGCGGAGAACATCCTTCGTGCTGCGAAGAATCATCCGAACGCGGAAGCAGAAGAATCTACTAGCGTGCCAGAGGCGTTATACGCCAGCCAATCTCAGAGATATACTTATGACGTCTAAGCTGCTGATCAACTTTGCAGTGCTCACAGACGTTTTATATGCGGTAGTTGAAACAGCTGCGTCTTGTGTGCTTCATCATTCTTGTGTAGGATCGAGCTCATGCGCAAGGGCGTACGATGAACCCCTCGCAAAGAACCATCAAGTCCCAGTAAGCGCAGAGCCGCCTAATGGGACATAAACACCCAAGACAAAATGACGAGCTTACTGTAATTTTATGTACTTTTTCTAACACATTCGGTACAACAATGTTTAAACCAATACGCTATCGTTGTACAAACTTCACTTTGCACTTGCTGTAATTCAGAAGATTCTTGTGTACTGAAATTCAGTATTCAATCAAATGGTAGAGCCATTTGCGGCTGTCAAAGGCAATCGACAGCACTCGGAGGCCTTGAAGATGCCAAGTACGGCTCCATGTTCGTACGGGGGCATAGGTCACAGTGCCGAAGTTTCTGTTGAATTTTCCAGCAAAATTTAAGGACTTTGACTATTTCGAATGCTGTCGAATTGTAGACCAACTCTTGAGATACAATCCCTTTTTATACGTGGCTGAGATGCCAGGAGCCATTAGCGTACAATAAGTCAAAAGTGACACGGTCTTCTCTCCTGGTAAAGCTTAACAGGGTTATGATCTCACCCCTGCCAGTAAAGAAGAAACGCTTCATAATCAAATTTGATAGCAATGATATGTTTGGTGCCTTAACTAGAGTTGGGGAGGCAAAAGTGGCAAAGCGACGGTCTCAGGACCGAGCTATTGAATAACGCAATCTCCGAGTATGTCCCTGATGAGACAGATGGCGGCGACTGTATGTTGCGACCCCTAGGTGTATATCCGGCGGGGCGGTACCGAACAGCTGTCAGCTGTAATCTTCTATATTACGGCTGATGTAGAGTAGAATCAGCTTGATGTCGCGATTTCCTGTGTTAGAGTTGATGGAAATTGAAGGGTGACTGTGAGTCGCGCGAAAAAAGGTCGGTCACTGCTTGTAAAGTTAGCCAGTTCTTGTCGCGATGCGACGGTACTGCTGAACCTAAATACCATTCGACTGGTCTACCGAGCGTAGAAATTAAGTTTTAGGAGAAAGTGGTGAAAAGGAATATTCTTTCGGGTGGTGTGACTGGGATAATCATATGGGCTGTAATGCTGCCCTCACAATCTCCGGTATAAGCTCTTACAAAGCTAAAAATGCCATTCCGAACTAGTTTTGCGGATATGCAAGAAGAAAATGTTACGATTGGTATTGGAGACAATGATGAGTTCGCAATCAGTTCTGGAGAACTAGTCATTGAGGACACTCGCAGAGCATCGAGTGCAAGGAGTGGCGCTATTCTTAACGATCATACGGATCCTGTTATCCTTTGTTGAAGGATTCACAAAATAATGAAGAGAAATATACAATTCATAATATAATTGGCCTTGTTTCCGACACCAAACATTGTTCCATCCGATGATGACCCTTACGAAATGAACGATGTGACGTCATTGACGCTTTCAGCCGTGCAATGCGCGAAGCGGGTTTGATGAGAGTAAGTTAATCCTCATAATTGGCGCCAAATTTTGGTGTCGGATAATCATAAGCAAGTCTCAAACGCGATCTCAATGGTTAACGAGCATGTCGCTTTACAGCTGCATTCGGTCTGCGCAAGTTACCCAACACTCGCTTATCGTGTCCGTTCGATCACCGGACACGCATTAAGCATATCCAGCCTGATACCAAGCAGCTTAGCAAATACTAACAATCAATGACGAAGAAGCGCGTACAATTTGAGACAATGACCACCGGAGCGCCCAGCTGACAAAATAATTTTCGGCGTTAAATAGCTAAAATGTATCATGCACCGCTGCAGCAAGAACAGCAGTCGGTAAACAAACCACATTATTAATATGGCCAGACGCGTCTATCAGAAACCAAGACTGGTATGATAATTGATTGACAACACTCTGTCAGACCCGGTCAACTAGACAAGGATGCCGGCAAATGCGGCGACGATTGTACCGGTGATTTGTTTTACACTCGCACACAAAGACCATTTCTTAGCGCTCACTGATCTGTACGTCATTCTCTCTATTGAAATGACCGGTAATGTGTGTCTCATACAGAATATTGTATTATGATCCTCGTCAGGAAGAATTACTACATGCTGTGCTCCAGGCTCAAACACAAACACCCTTTGCAAGAGAATGCGATTAGATATGGCAACGTCCAAACGCAAAACCTCTTTGCTTTCCACAGCTTTTAATAGTGCAATTCTTGTTACATGTGACCTGTACGCCGTGCGTACTATCGACAATTCACGACGCCAAGCGGCATGTCAGATTGCCAAGGCTGAAGCATAAAAGTCGATGTGGCCGATATGAATTCGGGAGAGCCAGAACTGGAGTGCGCAAATTGCTTTTTAATGCGCTTTTGCCAGATTCCAAGGATATCTGACATGCTTTTCAGAAGATTAGCGAGGGATCGTGCCAGATCGACATGGTTCTTACTCTTTTAGCTGGCCGAATCAATCTAATTCCTGGGGTTCTTATGGAGCAAGGGAAAGAGGGATCGGTCAATCTTCAATGGTTATTTTCTTTGAGGAACCTGCCCGCAGGCTCAGCTTTTCACTGAGTCAGTTTTGAAAGGGGATTTCGTCGGCGCAAAAAGACAAACTTGTATCTGGTGGCGAATAGCATATTCCAGCGCGCTTACTCGAGTAAGTATCGAATCTCCCGTGCTCCGCACGACTATAAACAAACATGTATCGTCGAATTAGGTTTTTACGTCGCCACAATGTGGCTTGTACAGCTGTGTCATCTATACGACCCCGCGTTGTTGCATACAGCAACATCCTCGCAAAAACACTCGCAGAAAACGGCAAGATAATCTTCGCCAAGAATACTTGTGAGTTGTAAGAAAAGCCTGGTCGGCTTAACGTGGCGGAAGATGCACTTTTTCGTTGCCCAGAGAATGAACTATAAACGACGTAATCGTAAAGGTCGCGCATGAACGAAGCATATGCACGACGAAAAGGTCTGGCGCAACATGTGTGGCAGATTTGGGGGCTTTGAGGAGAAAGTTGCTCTTAAATCATATGCCTTTATATCAAGACGTCTGAAAACGCGTTAACATTGTTTTTTCTTGTCTCAAGGTTGACTGTATCAGAGTATATAATCGCATGACTGAATATTTCCCTTGAAGATTTCAGACACAAAACTTCCGACGAGGTCTATGATATTACTAAGTGAACATCTCGGTCATTAAAGACTGTACAGCTCAGTAAGCACATGCACTGGTCAAAAGTTGCGTAAGGTCTAATGTTTGCACGTGTCAGGCGCATGAATAAGTAGCCCCCTTAGCCATTCTGCTATTCCGGCACAGTGTTGGTATCCCATGAACGTGGACTTTATTTTCTTACCCTCTCAAAATCCGCCTTGTAAAATTGGCATTGTGGTCTGTGTGGGCAATCTGGTTTGCATCGCTGCTGTCAGTGCCACTGTAGCCGATGATTTACAGCAAGGCGTATCAGAGCAAAAGAAAAATCTCAGTCATGGCCTTTCTGGTGGCAATTGCTTTGGATCGAGATATACGCCTAAGCAAACACTGTTTAAGATACCTGGACATGTTTGCCGCAGGATATCCGCACTGCAAAAACGATGATCTTGTGGTGTAGAATATTTTATAATACACTTTGCTCACGATGACAGCTAATCTGAAGTTAAATGCCTCCACTGATTGAGTTTGCGTTAAAACAGCAAAAAAGTGCACGTCTCAATCGGTTGTATGCTATAAGCTATTTATATTTTGGCTGATCGGCTGATATTGTGTCCTTTCCACAAATCTAAGAAGTTGCTTCGGTGATTACATCTTTTCCACCCTCTAGACCAATTTACTTTATGTTGACTCGCTAGGGGGAGTGCTGTGCTTTGCGACCCTATATCTAGCCATGGGGGTGAAGACAAATGACATGCCAAGTCGTAAGCATCAACGGCGCCAGGCAAACTTGCCGAGGCTGAACTACAAAATCTCATGAAATTTTGGAATATAGGAGGTTCTTTTACTTCACCAGGTTTCGAATACACCCCTGGCGTGTTTTTTAATGTGGGCCTTCAAATGCTCGATGAGCAGATCCAGTAAAGGGCGAACCTAAAAGACTGGCTCTAGTGAGCCTACTTGGTTGTGGCAGTACATCGACGCTCTCCAACAATCTTGATGTGCTTCCGAAACGGACATGACTTATCTTGTAGATACACTCTTGAAACTACACGTTTGAGGCAAATGCTAATGAATCAAGAGGTTTGAAGCCAGATCTTTGATTCAAAAGTTAGCGCAGTTATAGTGAGCTGCTGAAACGTTGATCTGCAATCGTTTGTACGTCTGAGCTGCGCGTGTCGTAGTTCGGCTTAAAAAATGTGCTCGCAATTCCTAGATGATATTAAGAATATATTCTTATCTGGCTACGAGTGTCAAGGGCTCGTTTAGTAAGAAGACGACCCTTGTGGCGGCACTTTCGTCAACAGCACTTCGTATCCATCGACATAGAAATCCATACGTAGTGTTTTTCGAGGATAGCCTTTTAATTTTTCGCACTCATTGCTTCTCGATTGTCCTTATTATTGGACATATATATATTGGATGAAAAAAACACCACTTTGGCGCGATCCAATTATCCGCAAGCATATCCTTAGGACGATATTCCTTCTCCACGAGAGTTTTTACCGTAGCCGTAGGGAGATACTATCATTTCCAGGACTACCTACTCCTTCCGCTTATAACTGTAAACCTGATCTTTACAGTTCCGTGGAGTCTCACCACCCGCGCGATGGACACGTCACTCGGCACAAAATCGTAATTAAACAATTATTATTATTGATATCAGACCCTGGTCTTTGTATTCCTATCTGCACAGGGACTTGTCCTGGCATAGCCGCTAACGGGATCAAAATATGGACATCGCGATACATATCCCCCTTTTCGTACTACCAGAACTTGTTTCTGGAAGTTTTAATTCATATGTGCAAAACAAATTCGACAGGGATTCTTCAGTCGACTCTGCGTCTTAACCAAGATAGTGTAGAGCACGCAGGACATACACGTCCACAACCCTTCCTGCATTTACATCTGCGAGTATGACGGCGCTGCGCGGTCGCATGAGAGTCCACTCTATATTCTCTTCAGATTGACTGAGGTCCAACTCATCTTGCTCGCTCATACATCCACCGTCTCCCGCTTCATGACCGCTCCATGCCACTTAAATGCTTTGGAGCGCTTTCAATGTCTTGAAACAATCAATCCAGTTTGAGTAAGCGACCGACATATATAACAGACATGGTACTAAATCAAAAGTATGTTATTTAGTAGTTGAGCATAATCACTTGATATTGAAACCATTGATGTCTTAAAACATACAAAATAAGGACATTTAGGTAGCAATATACGCTATATCTATAGAGATAAAGAATATGTTGGATTATGAGACACAAACATAGCTAAATAAATAAGGGAATATGAACTTAAGCGATATTGAGATGAAACTTACGGATGTCAAACCAAATGCATTTGGCCGCACATTAGCTATAGACGCGGGACTCGGCGCGCCTACCAAGATCATCTCCAATATCTGATGAAATGAAGAATCTTTCTCACTCCAAGAATTCCTGTGAGATTTTGGTATCACTGCCCAAGCGTTGTTGACGCTAATAATTCGGAACAGATTCTACTCTCACTTTACCCCGATAAGCGGCAGAGTTGTGTGGTGCAATGAGTAATTCACTTGCGTATGGGTCATGTGTATGATTTCAACGTCAGTTCAAAGCGAGGGAGTGCCCGTCTTGATACTTTGATTCAAGCATGAGGCGACGTTCCTGTCGGAATTTTGCCTTTCAAACAGATTGACGGATGATTCGTCTTTACCTGATGCTCGGATCAAGCCATATAATCCTTGGTGCACGTCAGCCACAGACACCTCATTTCTTTTGTCGACTAGAATTAGCTAATTTTAAAGATAATCGTGAGCAATAGAGGATCTCAGTTCGCGTCCTGGATACGATCGTCTGATTAATCATCTGTGCATTTGTCTACGTGGACTCTACGAGCCAGAAACTTTTTCTGCGAGAGGTGTCTCAGCATACTTGTTGTGGAAGGTGCCTCGTCGGCAACAAAGAACTTTAAATTTCTTGAGAAAAATGTGTCAGATATTCTCAAAACATCCAACATAATACTTCAAAACACTGTTATGTATCGAAAAGTTAGCTGTCGACAAATTGGATCCGGTGGAGCGTGGTTGATATGTGGTGTGCATCATGTAGAATTTACTTTAGATTCGCTCAAGAATATTTTTTGCTCTCACTTGTACTCTCTCGCGCGCTGAAGGCTGAGGCAATAGCGACTAGCATGAGCATCATGCTACATCTGATACTTTCTGGAAAATTGTAAACCCTTTCAGCTTTTGTCGCCATATTTCGAAAGTATGGACCTACAGAAAACTAAGCGCAATCTATGAACTCAAGCTTAAATGATGTGGATATGAGGCCGAGCGCGTGTTCAAAAACACGAGATGCTGCACCTTATTGATCGATTCGCAATCATCAAAATACCGAAACTCACAACTTGAAATTTCCATGTGTGCTTTGTACGATCTTGTTGCATATCTCGGTTACAAGTTACGTCGAATTTACGAATTTTGTATGGAACGCAAATACTTTGCCATAAAGCTTTATAGATTGAAGATTGGACGTATATTTCGGGAATCAACCTTTGGTTCTGCTCCAAAATGGCTTTTCATGTACATATTTTATTCATTTATTTTTGTTTTGCTCTGTGTTGCTGGATATTGTCCGATTATCTGTCGCGATACTCTTGGTTTCATTTGTATGTAAATGATGCCATATGATGCGGCAGCTTCATCAGTCTTATGCAGTACCCTGCAGTTGCCAGGACATGCGGCATTAGCTTAAGCCCACACTCTGTGCCCAGGTGCCTGATTTGGAAGGTAACCAAATGATTTCGTTTTGAGTGTCTTTCGATGAAGGCACTCAGATTTTTTCAGTGTTGACAGATTACCTACCTCAAGCAGTGATGACACTGCTTCGACCAACTAGATCGCTTCTACATGATTGCTTCTCATCTAATCTCAAATATAAGTCTAGTACTTAGTTCAGACAGACATACTCGAAATGTCTCCTGATTCTACGATCTCGGTGACCATTCCGCGAAGACTCTACACAGCACACATCATGAATAGCGTGTGCTGAGGTATCACCTTTCGATGCTTTACACAAGTGTGAAGGCCGTAATCACGGTACATTACTTAACTTCCCAAAGTGAAATTTTGGCTTAGTTTCCGGACCTGTCATGAGCTATAATTCTAATTTCTCCCGCGGACATGCTTGGAAGAACATTTGAAGTAATTTGCATCACTGCGAAAAATAATTTTGAAATCTGTATACCTAAATAATTTACTACCCTGTCCGAGTCAGAATTGGAACGGTGACTACCGCAATCTCGAGGGCATACGTTCTGCTTAAGATGAGACAACTAATGTACTCGCGTGAAGTCTTTTGAGCTGTTCGAGTGCAATCATTCCTCAGCAACAAATTCAGGTTTCAAAGGGTCATCTTAAAATTATATTCTATAGCTTATCATCTACACTGTCTCTCATGCCTAATTACGCAATCTTATATTATGTGATCTTTTTCCTGTTGCAGCTCCGCTATGTGGCCTCGAGTAAAAGCACTCCATTGGTCGTGATTTTTGTTTAAAATCACTCGAATTATAATTAGGGTGGTGCACTTGTATAATCGTGCATCGCAAGTTCTAATCTTTCAATCAAGTTTCATGCTATCTGCGTATAATAGACTCAGCATCATAATCAGTCAGACTGTAAACCTGTAGATTGACGAAAGTCTGCTGCTATCATTGTATGCGCGAGATGTAGAGATCAAGGCGAGACTCGTATATTTCATTTGGTGATTACAAACCTATCGTATAACATATGGAATGGTAACCTTTTTTCTTACAAAACTCAAAGACAAGTGCAGCAAGTATAACCCCTGGAACGTCGCGTGACGATTGAACGCGTTAAAATCTCTTCCTGCATATACGAATCTGATCTTTTATAGAAATCCCAAAACGTAGTAACACGTCATTGAGCTACGCAGCAAACCCCCACGGACTTTCTTTTCAGAAGGTCTTTTTTACTTTTGAATCTAAATATAATTCAGCTCTAAAATTCTATCTTCTGTCCGTTTTATTCATTTCCATATGATTTCCCTCCGATTGTTTATGCAAGCGCAGCTGCAAGAAAAAATGCCCATTTCTTCCCATCGCAGCGGCTGTATCCATTTCTGCCCTTACCCATTTGCGGTTTCGACGAACTTCCAAGCATTAACTTAAAAGTTCAGTGCCGATGGTCGCGACGAATAAAGGAGAGAATACCGCAGTAAAGCCGAAGCGTGCAGGCTTTGGACTTGGTGGGTTTTTGCCAAAGGTCCCTCCGATCTATCGTAAAGAAAAGGGTCTTCATGAGGGACAGGAAGCTGAAGAAGAACCTGTACAGGACGATCAAACGAGGGAGTTGCCGAATTTCTCCGGTGAGCGCCGTTCGCTTCAAGGGTCGACACCGGTCTCATCTGCTACTGCGGTGGCAGCTTCTGCCTTTCGCCGTCGGGGAATGTCTATTGAACAAACAGCGTCATCATTCTATCGCCGCATGAGTTTGCGACCTTCGGCACCCGAGACGACAGAGACCGCTAAAACGTCACCGACTGGCAGTTTGAATACTTCACCATCACCTCAATCCGATACGGAACTTTCAATACGGCGTGGAATGTGTGTGGCTACAAAGTATGGTACAGGCACAGTACTCGACGTACGAGCGGCTGACGGCTTTATTGTGGTACAATTGGGACCGAAGAGCATTGCGTATGTGCGCGAAGATATAATAATCAGGGAGATCAAGAGTGTGGTAGGGGAACGAGTTAAAACCCGCTGGGGTATGGCGACAGTTGAGCAGTATTACGTCGAAGAAGATATGTACAGCATTGCTCTGGATTGGCGCTGGGACGATGAACATGTTTGGCGCATGAAGGCGACGACGAAGAAGTTTGAAAAGGTGAATCCACGTGGAACTTTGATTCAAAATACGAAAAATCGATTGTTTGAAGGATATAGCTCACTTTGGGAAAGCGTTGGCAAGCTTAACACCACTTCCAAGAGGTAGAGATTCTAAGATGATGTTTGAGGATTTATGATTGATCCGTTTGTGATAAATATTGTTTCGTAATCTAACGTTGAGTAATTGATTAGCGGCGTACCTCCTACCAAGCAAGACGCAGTGGAACAGCCGACTCTAGGCACAGCACAGACGCCGTTTGGTATTTGTACAGTGCTAGAAGTACGAGCAGACACGTTTTTTGTAGTCAAGACGGCAGATGGTTCTATTGCATACTTAAACCCCGACTCGGTGCGAATGTTGGGACGACGGACGCATTTTGTTAAAGGCGATCGTGTGAATACACCGTACGGACCTGGACACATTGTCCACTTTCGTGAAGACGATGAGACGTATGCAGTTGAGCTTGAAACGCTATCACTGGCTGGTCAAGCACCGTTGCTATTTATCAGCGACACGGCTGCTGAGACAGATTTGACGCACGCCCCTGCGGCTGCGAATACGCGTCTATCGTCAATCTTGAATATCACGCGCACATCTATGATGAATGCGGGGGAGAGAATGCGAAGTGCATCGATTGCAGCTGGAGGTCTCCCTACGCTACCTGCAAACCTGCCTACACTTCCAGGTGGTTTACCTACGCTCTCTAGTGTCAAAGCCAGAGTATCAACCATGGCAACCATTACGATGGCCCCGTACGTTCTACCTTTCTAACGTGTATGCTTCAAAAATGCTTCTGACTGGTATCGATGTTGATTACAATTGATACAGAAAAACAAAATTTCACAAGGATGAGCGGGTACTTACAACATTTGGATCTGGTTTTGTGACGGAAGTTCGTCCTCTTGACAAAATTTACCGCGTATATCTACGCCGACTCAAATTTTCTGGCTATTTCTACGAAGCGAGTCTTGCTCCTTTTCCATACGATCGTGTCACGCACTTTGTTGTGGATGGTCGTACGATACCAGCGCCGCCTATTCCCAAGAATGCGAGCGACTACAAGCGTCGTGCTGTGATTACGAAGGCGATCAAGTCGGCTAGGGCCGGTACTTACCTTCCTGCAACGGTTTTAACTCAATCGAAAGAATCAAAGCACGAGATTCCAGAGGCACCGATTCATGCAGCTGATGCGACTGTCGCCGTTAATGTCGCGTCTGTCCCTGCACCAGTGTCAGTCGCGGAATAGTGTCTCGTTGCACAAAAACAACTTCATATAAAGATGTAGCTCAAAAAGATTGTGAGTGTTTTACTCATTCATTAGTGAAAAAATATGCATTATCGTTACATGTACTGATTCATACACGTGGCACGAAAAGCTTGAGCAGCAGTCAGTGCGCTACGACTTTTCGTTCTCAGCTAAACGACAAGCTAAGTCGTTACGATCATTGTAAGTGATACTAATCAAGATACAGCGTAGACAAAACATCCATAGAAGCGTATAGCGTCAAAACACAAGAAGCGCTAACCAAGTTAATTGATTATGCGTCTATCTAATTCTGTATAATGTGATAAAGTGCTTCCTGCATCGTCCATTCAGACTTAAGATCAAAAAGATCTTCTGAGAGAAGAAATTGGTTTAGTCAGAGATTCGTGCGTACAACGTTTTGATTCTGAATCCTTCATAATTTGACGACAATAAGGCCGAGATCAAGTTGTAAGAGGACTTTTGATAGCCAAATGAGCGTCAGTGAAGCAGATAGACTAGAACATCGAAAACGAATAGCGATAGCACTCAACAATCTCCTCCATGGTTTGAGTAGGTAGAGCGTTGAGCACTATCACATGTAAACAACATAGGTCCGCCTCAAATTTGAGCTTGAAATACCTGTTCTTAAAGATACAAGGAATGTTGAGCACATGTACATTGAAATCTAAGCATTATCTGTCATCAAACACATTACAAAGAGAAATAAGAGTTGACGAGCAGTAAACCAATTTCTCCACTCACCGCTGAACTTTCATGCATACGGTGATAATTCGATCGAGTAAATTAAAATCGTTTATTTTCTTGAGTATGTGACCAAACGAGGTACAAGAGAAGTGAGATATGTAAGGATGCTTTTTCTTAAGTGAACGTGACTGCACTGTGCGTCATTTTCAAGGCAACGACACCGAGTCGAAAAAACAATAGTATGAAGATGTGCAGAATTGGATATCGCACTTAGTCAGCAAAGCAATTGTCGAATTTTCGACTTAAAAGTACGCGCTAACGAACGTCCAGAGGATGGGCGTACGCTTCGCTTAGAAGCGAAATCGCGAGAAATTATTTGCAATGTGTGTCTTGCTATTTCAATATAACTATTAGTATTATCCAAACTAGTTTTAAAACATACATTTTGCCACATGCGATGATCACGCTATTTTCATTGCTTGACATGTGACTGACAGCTTCTCTGTAAAAAATACAAATATGTACGATCCGACGATTTACCCTATGCACTTGAAAAAAGCTGTGAAGAGTAAGGTGTATGCAAACACTACGTACAGCACCCGTTACACCCTTCCCAATAAGATGTGGACCTTGAGGGTCACACTTTTTTTGGCTTTGAAGCCACTGCACAAATTATATATCATACGTTGTGCACGCAACAATTTCACTCTGATTTATGCACTCAATACTGCCTAATCATAAGCGCATCTTTGTACCGGGAATTCCCGCCCGTGTACACGATTTCATGGATCATTAAGGCTGAGGAAGTAGTATTCTTTACCTCCTGCCTCTCATTTGCACGAGTTGCACGCTGCGTGTCCGTTACATACAGGGGCGTGTTTTGACACTCTGCTGCGAAGTCTCGACGTTACACTTTACTGAGTTGGACCTGGCTTTAAGAGCTCAGCGTGTCCGTCTGTAAGTGCAAGAGTCGCAACGACTCCTGTTGGTCTCATTGCGCCGCGGCTATGAGACCATCCATTTATAGCTGCTCGCTGCGCTGGAGCAGAAGCCCAACCTAACGTACGGGACCTCTGTAGAAGCGACATTTACAGCATTAGAAGACTGGAAGCGACTTATGTCGCTGTTGTTCGCTCCGCCTCGTTTTGAGTGCGTTTCGAACTCTTGCCACTTGTCAGGTAGGGCGAAAGGTAGCCGGCTATGTTTAGGCGTCAAGATCTTTTATCATCGAGATAAAATCAGGCCCCTTCGGTTGTCGCCAAAATTTACCATCGCTATAGAAAGCGTC